AATACCACTTCTGATACCCGACTCAATAAACATCATCATGTCTATATCGGTTATAAGTTGCAATGTTATGCCCGTATATTTGAGCATAGCATTCCAAGTTAAACCGGGGGTAGTATAATAGTGTGCTGGATCTAACCTGTACGCGTTTAAACATTGTTCGCGAAAGTTCTCAAAGACATCGGCAAGTAATAACACGTCTGTTTTCATATAAAGGTGAACGCAATCGTTAAAGGTTTGACAATTAAATTCAGACCAACTTACTTCGCGAGTCTAAATACTCGTAAGGGTAGACACCTTTTCTCGTTAATAATTTACTTTTTTTGCGATCTGTCACCGTACTGTCAAATACGGATTCAACAATTTTATATTCGTTAAAATATGACTCTAATTTTTCTAGAGATGTTGCCATGAATCTAAACAAGTCAATGAAGCGTAATTTAACCACACTCCCCTTGATATTTTTCGTAAAGGAGATATATTTCTCCTTGTTCAAGGGGAGGAGGTCAACTCGACCTTCAAAGCTCGTCAATACAGCATGAATTATAAAGTGTGCATCGTACCAACTTAAATTATGAAATACAATGGGTACGATTTGGCACTCATGATAATTCAAGTTGCATGATTTATGTGCAGCACCTCTATATTTGCCAGTAAGATGACAATGCTCGCGAACCTTTTTAACATTAGCTGGTATATTCTTACGGCAAATATGGCATACGCTTGCTTTCTTAAAATCAGCGATTTGCTGAGGAGTTAAGGCATCCATAGAAATAGGATTCTTAAATACATTATCAATTTTCTCGGAAAATTGCTTTAACTCGTCAGCTAACCACTTGGCAGGATCATTTTCCTGCCTCGGACACGGTACATACACGGACAATGAGTCATCGTAACTACATTTTACAAAATAACCTATACTAAGCAATTTATGACGCTGGAAAATTTAAGTTTTACTTAAATTATCTGTATCTTCTTCAACGGGAAGAAGTAAACTTTCACAGTCGGCATAGATGATAAAATAAACTTTCTCCTTATTATCATAATTTTTAAAGGTTATTTTACAATTTTCAGCATTCGGAAATTTTACGCTACATACATTCATACGTTTACAATTTTCATCGTGTACATTCAATCTTTCCGCTGATGAAAAATAGTGTAAACAACGATCACAAATATATTTTTTACATTTATGGTTAGTCAATTGTTTGGATACTAACCGCGATAATTTTTAATCCAAACATAGTGGAAATTCATAAAATCAATATCGTTAGAATAATTGTTTACATTATTTTCATTTACACTTTCATCTATATAATAATCTACTACATGTAACAGGTTTGCATGCTGATCCCTCTTCTCTGCGGTCAGATAAAGAGGGTGAACGGAGAAATTACCATATCTTTTGGTAAGACCGTATACATTTATAGAGATATTGTTGAGCATTTCAAATTTAGGTATACTTTTCAGCGCTACAGGGAATTCAATATCATCATAATTTAATTCATTTTCAATATCAGTGTAACTAGACACACGTTTGGGATGTGACACGTCATGTAAAGCGGAAAGTATAGCCCATTTAAAACACTTATTATCTTTTTCATTTTTACATTAATACACGCATGTTTGGCTCTTATTTTTGGGGGTAAACCGATATATGAACTCACACGCATGGGGTTATATTTATTAACATAGTGTTAAAGCGTGCAACTTAATTCTAACTTAACTATAGACAAAACTCTAAATCTCATAATGAATTGCAGAATGTTCTATGAGTGTGACGGTAGTGGAAGCAACGACGATGGCAGCGATGGTGGCGGCGCCTCGGAATTACCACCTCCGGCAACTCCATTTGAGTCACTTAGGAGTTAGGTGACTCTGGAACGGGAGTTCCCCCTTCGCCTGGTGGTGGAGTTTCGAATTAAAAAGAAAAAGAGTTAATTTCAAATTTAAATTTACTTACTGCCGGTGGAGGCTCCTCATTATCTTCCCTTTCTGCGGGGGAATTGGGGAGAGTTTCTGGAAGCTCATCTTCTCTCTGAAAAAAATATATTATATTGTATAATATAATATAATATAATATAATATAATATAATATAATATAATATAATATAATATAATATAATATAATATAATATAATATAATATAATATAATATAATATAATATAATATAATATAATATAATATAATATAATATAATATAATATAATATAATATAATATAATATAATATAATATAATATAATATAATATAATATAATATAATATAATATAATATAATATAATATAATATAATATAATATAATATAATATAATATAATATAATATAATATAATATAATATAATATAATATAATATAATATAATATAATATAATATAATATAATATAATATAATATAATATAATATAATATAATATAATATATTTAATATATTTAATGAGTAATAGACCCTTTCACGAAATTTCAAAAATTATTGGAATACATTCTAGAAAGGATAAAACAAATGTCGTAATTTTTTTTTCTCTTAAAAGTTAAGTTATCTTATAAAAAATTAGTTTATAAAATTTACCATATTCAAACGCAACGAAATCGCGCGAAATCTCTCGTGACGTCACAGTTCACTATCATGTTATAAAAGTAATGCGTTTACCATGGAGGAAAACAATAATAATGTTCTTACAAATAAAACCGGCACATATAAATATTGTTTTGTGCCTGAATGCAAAAACACAAATATTAACAATCCTGCAAAAATATTTATATCTGTTCCAAAAGATTCAGAAAGAAAAAAATGGATTAAAATTACTCGTCGTGCTCGAGAAATGTCTTTAAAATCAAGTTTATTTTGCTGTGAAGATCATTTTAAAGTAAGTATTGTAATATATTAATTAGAAGTAATTATATAAAATAACCTTATATTTTATAAACATTTGCCATTATTCTGTATAAAATAGGTTTTGTAAAGTTATAATTATCTTTTAATAGGTTAAGTGTCTATATGTGTCTACAAGTTGACAGTATATTTATTTATTATTGGATGAAAAGTTTTCTTTAAGAAACAACCATTAATTATTATTATTATCAATAATTATTTATTTATTAATAATATTTATAACCTTTGCTATTAAAATGTCTCAGATTTTGAGATTAAATTTCTTAGATTTTGTGGTTAGGTTCACAGCGAGTTTACTTATATATTTAATTTTATTATTAACAGTCGATATTTATGGTAATTATTTGATGGAAGAATATATCTAATAAAGCTCCATTTATTATACACATTCCATATTAATAGTGTAATATTATAATAAAATAAATATTTATAGTATTTACGTTTTTATTTAGTTTATCTACCATATTTTTATAGGTGGAAGAAGATATCGAAAATTATACTCGTGTAAAACTAGACCCTGGAGTAAGAATATTTTTGAAAAAAGGCGTGCTGCCACGATTTTTTAGTTGTCAGAAAGACAGGAAACGTGCATTTCCAGATGTGACTCGCCCAGGGGCAAAAAAATTGAAAAAAATACGAATCTTGGAAGATATAGAACAAGAACAAAATCAACAGTCTAATAATGATAATGCCAATAATGATAATGAACTTTCAACAATTACAGGTAATGAAAATGAAGCATTGCCCGTCAATGATACGAATTCTGCGACTGAACCCGTTGGTGACAGAAATCTTTCTTTCGAGTTACCCTCAAAAACTGTGAAAGATGTCGGAGTTCAAGTTTGCATTAAGATTAAATCGCATTATCGTAGCACTGGTGTAAATTGCAATCTTTATAAAAACAACTCAGAAAGGAAAAATGTAGCCTGTTCACCAATAAAACCAATAAATAGGTTTTCGAGAAACATCATGATCAACAAAACAAATTCAATGACGTCTAATTCACCAATCAAAAGTAATGATGGATTGCTTAGTTCGGAAGAATTTATACCCAGCACCCAAAGCAGTGACGAAACTTCTGCAGAAAAAATTCATCTCGTGCATAAGCAGCCTGCAGAAAAGCGAATCAGTCGCATTTTAAAAAAACCTAAAAGTTACATTGGTGTGAACGAGGATGCTTTTTTTATCATCCGCATATTGTCGGAGGAATCAAAATTAAAATTTGAAAATATATGTTTAAAACTTGAAAAAATAAAGCTTTATCTACCTTTTAATATTTTAGCTGACGAATATGGAATAAGTGTAGGTAATGCAAATACTATTTACAAAAAAACTGTTCCTGTTTTAGCTCATTTTTTAAAAAATTTTGTTTTTTGGCCGTCCAGTGAAACAATTAAAGCATCGTTACCATTGGCTTTTCGTGCTAGGTATAAAAATGTACAATCAATTATTGACTGTTTTGAAATACAGATGCAAAAGCCAACTAATGCCCTACATCAAGCCCTTATTTGGTCAGATTATAAAAAATGTAACACTGTTAAATATTTGATCTCATCTACGCCTGATGGAGCAGTAAATTATATTTCGCAAGGTTTTGGTGGAAGAGCTTCTGATCGTGTCATAGTTGAAAAAAGCGATTATCTTGAAAAATTACCACTTGACTGTGCTGTTATGGCTGATCGAGGTTTCAAGCATATCGAACCTTTGCTAACGCAAAAAAATTGTACTCTTGTCAGACCCCCAAGTGTTTCTAGCAATAGTAAACCAACTAAGCTTGAAGTGATGGAAACGAAACGTATTGCAAGTTTAAGAATTCACATAGAACGTGTAATAAAAAGATATAGAGAATTTGCTTTATTGAAACCACACGCAACAGTCCCCATTCAATCATTTTTAATTGATGACGTTATTATCATTGCCTCTGCTTTAATAAATTTACAAACTCCTGTAATTGCTCAATTATGATGAAACAAAATACATGTAAAATAAATTTCGTTAATTATAAAACAACTGAAAAATATACAAATAAAATGACAAAGCTTTAATACTGTAATTTTTATTTTTACAAAGTATATTAATTCCTTTTACAAAGCTATTAAAGAGCAGCGTTATACAAAGTAGGAAAAATATTTTTCTTCCAAAAATCCATACTTTTTTCTAAAAGGTCCATTATGAATAATTCATCAAACTGTACACTAACCATGGTAAAATTTTTAGTAACTTCAAAGTCATGGTGAGCAACGCAAAAGAAACCTCGTTTTTTCCCAGTTACAAACATTTGTAACTGAATTTGACCCAAATATTTCTTTGTTATTTGATTCGATGAGTTAATATAATTTTTTTAGCTTTCGCTGTTGTAGGACACTTTATTTCTACTACAAAATCTGGTAATAAAGCGTCAGGAGAAGCTCCAACTATTGGAAAATTCTTATTTAAAAAAAATCCACAATTTTCAATTTTAATATCTTTCATCCAATATTTTAATTCAGCAAGAACTTCTTTCTCAAGTTCTCGTCCTCTTTTCATTGCTGCAGTGTCTTTGATTTTCGAAGCGCCTATTATTTGTTCAACCAAAACGCCTCGTTCGGTTTTGCAGTGTGCAATTTCGTAGATTTTAGATGCTGTTATACGACCATATCGCAGTTCTTTCCTTAATTTCGATTCCGCTTGTTGTTTTGTTTCTGCTGCTATTTTTTCACAAACAGAAATTGACAAAAATTGTTAAGAGAAAATTAAAAAATTATTAACGTCAACACCTCCAGCTTTAATAAATTGTAACAAAATTTGATGTAAAGAAACATCGAACAAACTTGGATTTAACAAAATACAGTGTCGAGATATTTGAAAGTTGTTCTGCTTTGATTGAATTTCATTAATGACACGTTCGAAAAAAGTATCACTAGATGGCAAGTTTGGTTTTGTCTTTGGATTATTAATTTCTCTAATTAACATATATTTTATATTCAATCCAACTTGAGATAATGTCGATTTTTTCCAGTAACAGACTGTGGCAGTGGGTTCAGGTTCCTCACTCCGACGATGTAACCACATTAAAAATGCTATTGCATGCTTGCAACCACCTACAACAAGTATTATAATATATAATTCGGATATTAATTTTTAGACATAATTTTATAAAATTTATTATGTTATATTAATATTTAATAAAATTTATAATATATCAATGCATATAAAATTTTTAATACCTGTTGACGCTGCACAGTCTTGACAAGTAATTTTTTTAATTTCGTCGTCTTTTTCATCGACGGTACAAATCACGATGTAGGGTTTACTCCCAACTCTGTGTTCTGGACATATCCTGGCTTTAACAGTGCATAAATATCCTTCTCGTTTTACTTCAACATATCCAACAGCTTTGTCTCCATATTCTTCTCGTTTTGATCTTTATAATAATATAAATATTCATCTTATAAGATTATATATAATAAAAATATAAAATAAACTTATTATATAGGTCTATTATTATGTACTTGCATTTCTCAATTGCTCCTCAATACACTGCCAGCAATAGCTTCCTTCCATTTTGCCAGTTTTCGTGGCTCATCTAGAACAGATTATGTGGATCCACGAGAGCAGTCCGACTCTTATAGGCAGTACCCCACCACTACCGCAGGCACGGAGCGGCGCGCGCCGTCGCCGGGTGGGGGTACTACTCGCGCGGCACCGTACACAACTAGCTCGCACGCTCGGTCGACCAGTTACCAACTATCAAACCGAGCGAGAATTTTACCATGAGGTAAAGAGCGCAGCACCGTTGCGCGGAAATAAATTCAAAATAATTATTTTAAGAAAAAATAATATTTAAAAATACAAAGTCGATAAGAATGGTGAGCGCCACCTACTGGGTATCGGGTAAACTAACTCGGTCGGTAAAACAGTTTTAATTAAAAAATAATTTCTAAAAAAACACAGACTGAAGTGAGCGCCATCGATTGGGTGGTCGGTAAACTAATTCGGTAAAAAAGTATAAAACCACAGACTGAAGTAAGCGCCATCTATTGGGTGGCTGGTAAACTAATCCGGTAAAAAAGTTTATAACCACAGACTGAAGTGAGCGCCATCTATTGGGTGGCTGGTAAACTAATTCGGTAAAGAAGATTAAAACCACAGACTGAAGTGAGCGCCATCTATTGGGTGGTCGGTAAATCAACTTTAATGTTCAGTAAAACAGGTTGAGAATAATTTTATTTTTAATTAAAAGGTTATTAAAAGTCGGCAACACACTCGGAAGTGAGCGACATCTATTGGGTTGTTGGTAAACTAACTTCAATGTTCGGTCGGTAACACAGTTTCCTACCTTATCGGTCGAGTTGAAATTTTTGTCAGATTCCTACCTTACCGACTGCTGATAAAGAAGAAATCTGCATTACCGACCGAGCATTTACCGACTGTAGGTACTTAGCGGAGATCAGAAGCTAGCCCAAACCCTCCTTGCTATACTACTTACCTTTGTAAGGTTTAATAATGTTATGAGGAAATTGTAAAAACCTCTTAGGGGTATACAATGAAATCAATATTATTTATTTATTTATAAAAAATATTGTTTCAGAAGCATATGGGCAAATCCACAGAACCATATGATTTCATGTGAATTTCATTCCTCATTTAAACAATTTCAATAAAATTATATCATTGTCTTTTAGTTTCATTGTCTTTTGGAATACATGCCTAACAAAAAAACCAAATAAAATCATAATTTTTATAGTATTCATGTGAAATAAAAAGTCAGATATGTGCTTAAAACATTAAATTTGATTTCTTACTCTGCACTTTTCTTCGACTTAAATGTATATATATATATATATATATATATATATATAACTATTTCAGCATAAAACAAAACCCTTCAAAACCAATTTTAAATGATTCTTCTAATATTCAAAAATATATTACATATCGAAAGAAATATGTGCTCCTTCATTAAAACTAAGTGACAACAATTCAAAAATTGTTACTCCCATTTTTCAGAAATAGGAAGTATAAACAACAATATAACAACAATATAAAAATTATTCATTCAAAGAAAATTTTGTTCCTAAGTAGGGAAGACCGGGGCTGAAAGTGCCGGGGGTAAGTTGTGCCGATACACTGAAAAAAATTTTCTTCGCATTAATGACTATTAACCATAGCAACTTTAAATCTAGTCAGCGTAACCAAGCATCCTAGTCAATTCAGTTATGTAGCTTGGTTAATATTGTCAAAGTCGATTTAGTAGAATTGACCCCTTGTTTACTAGTTATGTTAACTAAGATGTTTGGTTAATATGACATGTATCTACAGTCAATTTTGCTAAAGTTTATTTAGTCAAAGTGATTCTAGCCAATGTAACTAAGATACCTTGTTATTCTGATAAGCTGCCCTAGTCATTCCGACTAATTGTCGAAATCAACTTTGACCAAGATTGCGTAGTGGGTTCCTCTCGTAACCAAGCAAGTTAGTCAATTCCTGGCATACGGGGGTTAGGAATTTTTTTCAGTGTAGAAATATCTCAAAAACAAAATTTTTTTGAAAAGGGAAAGTAAGAGAAGTATTGTTTTACTTATGCGCATCTTTGGCAACTATTTTGATTTTGTTTGCTTCACGGAATAATTAGCTATTAGTAATTTAGTGCTTTGGCGTCACTTACGTGCAAGTTTTCATGTTTACACTTTTTGGTCTATTTTTTGAATTTTTAAAGATATCGATACGTATTTTTTTTTAATGATCCAAATTTATCAAGGAATTCAATGGGGTATTGATCTTAACATTTAATTTATCTAGTTTTTTAATATTTGATAAAAAGTGAGCGTCGACGCAACGAGGTTAATTGTGCCTTTCGCTTGGGGCTGGTTGTGCCGCTGTCAATCGCTACATAACGATAATCTACTATTGCCTCGTTTGTTCGAATAGTTATTCCAACCCGAAATCAAGAGAAAAGTTGATTCAATGCATAGTTTGCAAAAACTGGGCACATTTAAAATGTGTGAAGGGTAAAAAAAGGGTCAGTTATATGTGTGTCAATTGTAATTTCAATAAATCGCATTCTGAATTAGTATTCATGTCTTAAAAATTATTTATTAATCAGAAAGTAGAGTTTTTACAATTAATTAACGATACAAATATAATTATTTCAAAAAATATTTTAAAAGACTGACTAATTATGTAATTGTAAAATTTAAGTCAGAAATGTTTTTTCATTTACAAAAATCTATAAATGTTACGATTGTTGGAAAAATCCTTTAAATACACGGAGAGAAAAATCTGCCTTTTATAGTATAGAAAGGTTTACATTTAATGCACAGAAATTTTCTATGCTATATAGGCATGAAATTTGAGTAATTATAGTACAATCGTATGTCTTTTTAGCATGAAACTTGTCTATGCTAATAAAGTTTGTCATATAGCCTCTTATTACATACTTATTATACTTTTAATCCAACGGCGCCATGCGAAGATCGCACATAACATCATCCTACTATGTTTGCATAAGTTCTATGCTTTTTCGGGGATAGACTCTTGCAACTGGCGATTAGGCCACGCCCACCTTTACTTAATTGGAACTGCCCTAATCGCCAGTTGCAAGAGTCTATCCCCGAAAAAGCATAGAACTTATGCAAAAATAGTAGGATGATGTTATGTGCGATCTTCGCATGGCGCCGTTGGATTAAAAGTATAATAAGTATGTAATAAGAGGCTATATGACAAACTTTATTAGCATAGACAAGTTTCATGCTAAAAATTCTCAAATCTTTGCTCTATTAGTATGAAAAGTTTAAAGAAAAATAGCAGCAATCTATTTCATACTATAAAAGGCAGATTTTTCTCTCCGTGTATGTATAATAAAAATACTTATTACGAAAACTATATTTTAAGTGACTGACTAACTATGCAATTATAGAATATAAGTCAGAAAATGTTTATTTGTACTTACTAAAATCTAGAAATCTTAAGATTGTTCCTAAAAACCTTTAAAAGTTCATAACAAATGATTAATAAATAATAGTAAATCATATATTGGCAATAATTATTATATTTCTTACGCGTAAAATCATTTGCTTCAACTAAAACAACTAAAAAATCTGAGCGGTACAACTGACCCCGGCGTCGGCACAACTCTCCCCAGCGTGGAGTTCAACGTGCCGTGTTGCCTCGCTGCACAAAATCATATTTTATAAAAAAAACTGTTCAAAATTATCAAAAAATTATAATGGATTTAAAAACTAAATTAAATTTTAAAATAGATAGATTATTGATTAAAACAAAAAGTTCTTATTTTACTAGCATTTTATTTAGTTTTCTCAAAATCGGCACTTTCAGCCCCGGTCTCCCCTACATTTCGAGGGGGAACTAACTCAGGTTGTCAAGTGTACACTCTTCCTGTAATACTCGTGTAATACTGTGTAATAATCCGTTATTACGGTGCTGTAATGACGCAAAAACCTCTATAATATCTCTGTAATTCTCTGTAATAACGTGTAATACTTAATAATAAGGGTAATATGAGGTGATATACCGGTAGTCAAATATACATATACGTTTTTAACTAGTGAATTCCCCCTCGGTACATTTTAAACATATATATCTAAAAATAAAAGGTGTGCTTGCAATTTTAAAAAGTTTAGTTTTTTTCCAAATCGTACGGTTCAGTGGATTCAGTGACTATGAATTATCAATTCATAGTCGCCCACACAGCACATTATATTTCCTAAACATATAATGAATATTTCATTGAAAGATTTGAAATATTTCAATGCAAGGTCCATGAAATGTTGATGAAAACAGGAAAATGTCCGCCTATAAGAAATATTGCCGTGCAATTTTGCTGAAATATTACACTTTAATACTCCTGCAATATTACACATGAACTCTGCAACATTCAAGAAATATTTCAAAGAAAGTAAGAAACTTTTTTAAAATATGAAATTAATCGTTATTTTCTAGTATGTTCAACACCTTAGGATCCTAGAACATTAAAAACTACTGCGCAGCTGTACAGGCCATGGAAACTGAGATCGATCAGTGCGCATCATTTGAGTTGGAATTTTTCTATAATATTTTAATGAAATATTTCAGCAAAATTACACGGCAATTATTTTTATAGGCGGACATTTCCCTAATTTCAGCAATATTTCAAGGACTTCGCATTGAAATATTTCAAAATTTCAATGAAATATTTCAGAAATACACGGAAAAAATTAGTCGCGGAAATTTTCATCGACTTTGTAGAAGACTCTCGAATATAGTGGAAAGTGTTTAACTTTTTAAAATCACTCAGTTCTAAAAATCACAAAGAAGTAATTCAAAAAATAGAGTACATTCGAAGAGAATTTAGAAAACGTGTTTTCGGTCGGTCTATTGAGATGGCACGCGAACGATTCTGCGACAGTCGAGGAAAATTACGAACCTAAAATTTGCTCTACAGTGTTCTAAAGTTTCATCAACAGTCGCGAAAAATAAAAACTCTAAACCGACCAATGAAAAAAAAATTCTCTTAATTCTTCTTTATTATTCCCTATATTTAATTACTTCTACATGTACACACAATCACGACACACAGGTTTAAACCAATCACCTACCGCAAACTTAATACTAATACACTAACACGCCTGTACATTTATATTACACTACGCTTCTGCTATTTCGCTCGCTATGAATATACTTTTTCATCGTCCTTATATACTAAACGTAACATTTTTTCACCGCTAGCGAGAAAGAGTGTAATATTTTGTAAATTAAAAATCTCAGCTATTTTTGCTTGACATGTTTTAGAATTTTAAATAGTATTTTAATATGTGTTAAAGAATATTTTACTGTTTTTTTTCATTTTTTATTATTTATTTATCAAATGTGTAAAAAAATTTATTGAATTATTAATGTTAAATAATAATTGATCAAACAAATTGTTTTCTATTAATTAATTAAATTTTTTTAAACGATTTAATTATATTATATAGTGTTATTATTATGTTTATAATTATTGTAGATTGAAATAATACATTATTTATTATTATAAGCATCATAAAAATTTAATTTAATTAATGATATTTAAATAATAAATGCTGTACAACGCTGCACATTCGTCCAGCTAAATTTAAAAGGTTCAATTTAAGAAACAAGAATCACAAATAGGGTAACTGTGGGTATTACTGTGCGTGATGGTATTACTGTCATTTTAAAAAAATTATTATTATATATAATTTATAAATATATTTTTTTTTTCAAAATCATTACAAAATTTATATAAATCTTACTTAATGGAATAGTCAATAAAAATGTGCATTTCATCAATTGGTTATTTAATTATTTATATTTAAAATTAATTATGATTGAATTCCATGAAATTATCAAATGTGGCTGCCGTTAACACTTATTCGAAAGCGTTAATATTTTCAATATTTTCAATAATATACACAATTCAGTGTTATTACTCAATTAAGTATGCTTCAATGTTTTAAAAAAATACTACCCCCACAGCACCGGAACTTTCCTGAAAATTTCCTAAAGTTTTAATTGAAATTTTGAAATATTTAATTGCAATGTTTAGAGAATGTTGTGTAAAGATTTAAATGTCCCACTTAATTAAATGTTTAGCGTGAACCTTTCCTGAACATGTAAATTACATTTTCGTTAAAGTTTCGTCGTGAACCTTTCCTGAACATGTAAATTACATTTTCGTTACATTTTCGTCGTGAAACTTTCCTGAACATGTAAATTAAATTTTCGTTACATTTTCGTCGTGAAACTTTCCTGAACATGTAAATTAAATTTTCGTTACATTTTCGTCGTGAAACTTTCCTGAAGATTTAAATTAAGTTTCCGTTAAATGTTTATCGCTAATATTGATTGAGTTTTTAATTTAAATTTTTGTTAAAATTTTATCGCTAAAATTGACTGAGCATTTAAATTAAATTTATATTACAGTTTTTTCGCAAAAGTAAATAAAAGATTTATTTAAATATTTGTTAATAAATTACGCCTTTATAAATTTAAGCGCTGATATTTAATAAATGTGTTTATATTAATTTAATTACCGTTTAATTTCCTTGTCCTACTTCTCTTTAATATGACTTTTTTTCTTCTTCAGTAAACCTTCCGCTCAAGATTCAACAAATATTTAAATAAATCTTTTATTTACTTTTGCGAAAAAACTGTAATATAAATTTAATTTAAATGTTCAGTCTAGTTTAGCGATAAAATTTTAACAAAAATTTAATTTAAATACTCAATCAATATTAGCGATAAACATTTAACGGAAACTTAATTTAAATCTTCAGGAAAGTTTCACGACGAAAATGTAACGAAAATTTAATTTACATGTTCAGGAAAGTTTCACGACGAAAATGTAACGAAAATGTAATTTACATGTTCAGGAAAGTTTCACGACGAAAATGTAACGAAAATGTAATTTACATGTTCAGGAAAGGTTCACGACGAAACTTTAACGAAAATGTAATTTACATGTTCAGGAAAGGTTCACGCTAAACATTTAATTAAGTGGGACATTTAAATCTTTACACAACATTCTCTAAACATTGCAATTAAATATTTCAAAATTTCAATTAAAACTTTAGGAAATTTTCAGGAAAGTTCCGGTGCTGTGGGGGTAATTTATCTTTATATTATTTATTTATAATTAATATTTCTTATAACTGTATTACCAGCAATAATTTCACTGCTTGTTGGCATTACTGTCATTTTTAAATACGTTAACTGCGCAACTCGCCGCAAAGATAACCTAATCTTTTTGTTGACGTTTCTCTAACCTCCATTCTCATGGACAGCTTAATTAATTAATTTCTAGTTAACTTTAGTTAATTTTTAGTCGTGTTTAATCAAATTAATTAAGTAAAAAGAAAAATGGATAGTGAAAAAAAGAAAAACGAACGAAAAAGACAAGAATTTCGTATTCAAAAGAAACCTTAGCTTGTTGTGACATGCGCAGCTCGACATGCAGTTCGATTTTAACAGTAATGCCGGCACAGTTATTGCCGTTTTGTTAGTAATTACCGCACAGAAATACCGACATTTTAACAGTAACACACGCATTTGCCATTATTTTTTAAATGGATGTTTTAAATAAAAAAAGTGCCAAACTAATTTCGAGTTTAATGTTTAAGTAAAATTTAATAATTAAACTTTTATCTACAATTGGAATAACAACATTTGATGTATTTTTGAGGTTAAATTGAGCTTTGCAAAGTTAGCATAAACAAAAAAAGCACAGTAATACCCACAGTTTCCCTATATACACAAATGAAAAGAAGAACCGACTAAAATGTCGTCACGTCGCGTTTATCGCTTGAGAGTTTGCGCATCTTTTGTGCGCACCATTTTCCTAGACTCGTTGCCTAAATTTTGCATCAAAGTGGTACAATAACTCCGCGACTTTTTTCCGCTTCTAGGTTTCTAAAAAGTCCTCGACTTTTTTCTAAAATTTCCTTTAACCCTCGGAGCACACACCTCTTTTTTCGAACAAGTAGCACAGTCTGGGTCGCTGTGACCCTGTTTACTTTACAAAACTCCCCCATTTTTGAACTATTGGACTGATCAACACAAAAAAAATATTTTTTTATTCATTGAACCTTGTAAAATAAGAATATGCAGTTTAGAAATATTATTAAATTATTTGCATATTGAAAAAAAATTCGTGAAGTTAACTAATTAAAAAGAAAAAATTGAATTTAAAAAAAAAATGTAACTTTTGTAATTTTTAATATTTTAAGCTAAAAATTGGGATTTATATTCTCGAAGTGTGTTAGAATAAGGGAAAAAATACCACCTTATTTTATTTTTTAAAAAAGGTATTTATTTTGTAGTTTAACGAAGGTAACTTTTAAGACGATAAAAATGTGATTTTCGACACAACTTTTTAAAACTATACTTTTTTAATAACATATTTACTAGTATTTTATTATTTTCTTTGGATTATCATGTTACTTATTATTCCTTATTAGTTAGTTACCACTGTATGGCCTTAGGTTCGTGTTGTATTGCCGACTTTTCAAATTACACTTCATTGAAATTAATGACAGGGTCTGTGTGACCCAGTATGTGCTCCGAGGGTTAAAATCGTGGAGTATTTCTAAAACTCCGTAAAATATTTTATAATATCCGAGAGTCCTTGATTAGTCGCCTAAAATTTACGCGACTAATTTTTTCCGTGTAGAATATAATTTTTCAGTATGGTTAAAATATGATAGGTAGTTGAAAAAATTTCTGTTACAAACTTGAGTAAAATTTGTAATTATGTGATCAAATATTTCTTTGTTCTCTGAATTCCTTTCGATCACTATGATTCGCCTTATGCATTACTACATAAAATACTTTTCTTTAAGGAGATTAATAAAATCATAATTTTATTATAAGTAACGTCTTTATTAATGGGAAAATAGGACCGAGGCTTAAAATTTTTCACATAAACATTTCATTCGAAGTTTGATGTATTTTTACGTGTGTACATACAAGATTTTTATGTACACGTAATAATTCACCTTATAATACATTTCAAAGACACTTGAACTTTATTAATTAAAACGAGACCATACAAAAGAATTTGTTTTCAATAAAAATTGTTTCCAGCCTCTAATCTGAAAAGTAAATGCTGAACTTGAACAGATTTTTAAAAATTGTCTCTTCTCTCATACTGAATAGATTTTTGTTTATTATTATTGTAGGAAAACGCAATGTATGTACAAATTTTTTTATATTTACATTAATAATTGTGATTCTAGGTACAGTTATGAAATTTTAGAATCATCAAGGCTTTGTGCTCTTTGAAGAGGCAAGCGAGTTTCTCGAAGCAGGTCTGCTATTTTCCTGAGAGCCGGATTTTTTATCTAGTCTTGAAAAAGAAAGAATAAAAGTTTAAATAATTTCATAATAATACTTTTTAAGATAAAGGGGTGTTAATTGAAGGAATTATGAATCGTTATGAACACTGACATCTTGATAATAAAATTGGCTCACGCCGCGCAGGATGAGAATCATATCCATTTAAACGAGACGTCATCGCATTAACGTATCATCGTTTGAGAATACGATCGCATCCCAGCAGGTGATGCTATTAACTGTATTACCTTTGAAAATTTATTTGTCGAATAAGAGATTGTTGTATGCCCCTATCGCGTGATACGAAAATTAAGGGGGCGGTTAGGAAATAACAAAAAAATAATTTTACTTTCTTTACGAGGTAAATAAAATTAAAAAAAAAGAAATATTGCATATTAAAAAGCGAATTACATACCCATTACTTTTGGAGCCTCTCTTAAACATGTCGGTTAATTTCTTCTTCAAGTTTTTCTTATCACGTTTAATGTCCTCGTTAATGCTAACTTCAGATCCCGAGGTCTGTAAGAAACAAAACAATATTCAGTCATTGTTTTTCCTTTTTAATATTGATTATTATTTATGTGACATTTACTTGAAGTGAAAACTCATATGAACTGTTTGGATCATCAACGCTCGCAGATTTGGTCAACTTCGTTGTCAACTTTTTAATTATTCCCGTGCCGTACTTTTTATCTCTGTGCAGCATTTCACTCTTTGTTGATCCACTGGACAGTCGACTGAAATTAGTCAATTTTGTTTTATTTATTTTCGTTTTCTTATGAATACTCTTTTTATACATAGATTAACTAAACTCCGTATTTCACAAAGATTTAATTTAACTTAACGACACACATATATTTTTTCGTTTAGAAATATTTTTATAATTTCTAACATTTCGGAAAATTTGTATTCATAAAAATTTTAATTTATTTCAAATATTTACAATATTTTAACTAAAATATGTTTAAATAGTTAAATTAAGGTGAAGGTATTTCCATATTTATTCATTTTATATTTGATTAAATTAATTTTTTAAACAGAAATTATCAATATTTAAAAAAACATTGATGTAATGCAAAATAAATTACACATGTTTCAGCTAAATTTAAGTGTTTTGAAAATTGAAATTCCATTATCAATAATTTTGAATACCTATCGACGCTTGAATCTCTCGGCAAACTAAAATGTCGAGGATCTCCTTCAGATCCATCCAATGATTGCATACTAGAAACATTACTATCATTTCCCCATATTGACTGAAAAAAAAATATTGAAAAAGTTAAGTAATAGAAAATAATAAAGAAATATTATAAGACAAGAAAATTAATTCAATTTTCAAATGTTATTGCACTGAGAGACCTTTTGCACCGTAGCTGACTTTCGACAGGCGGATGCGGAGCATTCTGTTGGTAAGCTACGAGACTATACGTTTGGGCTGCTGCAGTACATTTTTTGGGCGCGTGTCTGTCAAAAAGTTGTACAGCTACAAACCAAAGGTGGCGTCCCCACAACTTCGGTGAGCTACTCACCAACATTTTGGACAGTCACGCTCCCAAAATTGTACCGCTGCACACCAAAACCATAGTGGCGCTGCTATCACTTACCTTGTTCCGCTGCAGTTCAAAAAGTCTCTCAGTGTGGCAATTTTTATATAATAAGAGTGAATGTCACGCATTTATATATATATATATATCTATTTCGACTCACCTGTTCGTTTTTGCTTGTGGTCTGTTCGAGTGAGAGACTCTTTCTCTTTAAAGCTGGTTTACGACTCGCAGTTGTTCCTCTTCCAGTGTCATTGTCGATGGATGTTGACCTGTAAAATACCAACAGAAATCTTTTTCCGTCTTTTTCATCAAAATAATTGCAGTTCATTAAATACCAAGTGTAGAAAGTGAGAAATGTTTATTTTTTTCTATATACATCGGTTTAATGTAATTAAATGAAACTTTAACAAAATTCTATAATTAAACATAAAATAGACATTATTAAGAAATCAGTTTAGAAAAATTGTATGTTATCATCAAAAAGAAAAATTACCTTTTACCAAACTTTTTAGATCGATTGGAACTACTCTCATCAGTTTTCTTTGATTCTCGCAGTTCTTTTGCAACTTCCATTAATTTTCCAATTGTATATTCAAGTTTCTCAGCTCTTCCTTCCATCTTTCCACCTACGAGAATGAATAAATAATGAAGTCATAAATATAAAATTTATGAATTTCAGTTAAGAGATGACAGTCTAAAATCTGATTGTCATGAAATACCTTTATCGTCTTTGCCCTCCAACATTGGCGACGATTCTCTTGACTTTGGTCCCTGCAAAATGATAATAGACATAGATATAAATCCTTTTCAACGACTTGTTCTAAAATTTATAATGTTTTCCGTTCCCTTGTATATACCTTGAGTCTTCTCGGTGGAGTGGGTGTGTATACTTCAGGGGTTTTATTTTCCGTGGTGCTCTTCAACTCTGGGAATAGTTTCATCAAGTCGTCGACTTGCTGCAGCAGCATGTTAATGCTACGAGCTTCCGTTTGTTCTATGTGCCGTTTATTTGCTATAATCGTTTTTAGTTCTTCCCTTTCCCTTTCGTGGCGCTCTTTTTCTCGCCTCATCTTTTCATTGCTTGTTCGCAACTTTGCGTGGGCGTCTCTCAATTCCAACAAGTCACATTGCAACTGAAATACATATACATATATACATTCTTTAACTATTGACAATATTTATTACAATAAAACGTGAGGTGCTTAACGTTACTTTATATTTTATGTGTACATATCTTTTTTGCATCATTTAAAAATTTAAGCATCAGAACATCACACTAACACTAAAAGATGAAATTCAGTTAAAATACTATAGTCGACTGACTTGTAAAGATGCTACCAAAAGTATTATTCCATAGTTTCAAATGGTATATATTTTTTTAAACAAAAGTTATATATATTTTCTTTGCAAATAAAATAAGTATAAGACTTTCCAAAATCATGAAATTTGTATTTTCGTCCTTTAATGTAAATCAAATTAGAAATTTAACACATTCATTTTTGCCCGATTTTCCGAGAGCGAGAAGTAATTTGCAATTTATCATATGAGATAAGTTAAAATTCATTTCTTAAAAGTTACAAATCGTTCATTTATTCAATAAGTGTAAATACACTTATAGTACCTAAGTGAAATTTCACTCAAAATCAGTGAACAATTTATTTCTTGTAAACTTATTGCAATTATTTTAGATAAGCGATATTTCACATATTCTGATTTAGAGAGAAACGAGTAAACAAAATTTTCATTTAATTTCTGAAGATACTTTTCTCAACTCATTTGTTCCTTTTAATTATTCAATTAAGAATTTGAAAAATAAGAAAAGAAAATCAATTTTATTCTCACTTCCTTAACAATTCCTGATTAAATTAATTATAGTGGATAAATTTAAATTTATCTTATCATATTTGTTAACCGTAGTTGTGAGTTTGATATTTATCAAACAGTAAAACCTGCAATGGAGATTTATAAGTCTTATTCTAATTTCTAATGCAATTTTTAAATAGAAATATATGTTAATTATACGTTATTTTTGTTTTTCGTATTTTCATGTAACTAGTTTTTCTTCCCTACGACATTAAAATACGATGTGTATATCGTAATGAGCAATTAGTAGGAAAGGCAAAGGCAAATAGTTACTTCAATAAGTTTCTTCTTATTTTCATCTTTCTCCTCGTCAAAGACTTTCTTCAGTTGATCTTGTTTTCTCTTATTTTCTAGACGTTCCTTATCGCGTTCTCTCTCAACCTGTAAATTCAAAGCGAATTAGAGTTGGCTTCGATAAAGATGCAAAATTATAGTAGCTCCAATTAAATATTTTTCCCAAGGTATCAAACAATCCTTGGTTATTAAATTATAAGGTTTATAAACGCACTTCGAATAGCGTTTGCCGCAAATCCCGAGCAAGCGTTGCTGTTTCTTGAAGTAATCTTTGTTGATCCTCTCGTTCTTTTTGCCAAGCAAGTTCCATACGCACTTTCAGTCCAGGAATTTTCGTACGTCCACTTGCGAGCAAACGTTCCTCCTCCAACTACAATAACAATATCGTTGCTCATTTAAATACTAAATTTTTAAACTAAATAATAATAATAAATCTAAAAATTTTTCTATATCAATAATAGTCAATCTATAGGAATTTTAGTTAATTGTTTTTAACTAATGTTTAAACAATTTTAATTCATTTGTATTTAAAATACAAAAATTAAGTAATGAAATATAATAAAAGTTATAGAAAACAATATACTTCATTAATTTGAGACTGCATCTCTGATAATTTTATCTGCCATGCTGATTTTTCAGACACTAATTCAGTCTTTAATTTGGAAGCTTCGAGCTTTGCTTCTGAGAGTTCGTCTTCCATAGAGATAATTTGCTTTTCAAGAACTGCTACGTTTATTTGTGCTGATTCTTCATCCTGGAAATGAAAAACCTCTTGTTTTAAAGATAAACAATTTAGTAATTATAGTAGAGTAAATTAGGAATTGTAAAACCAGTATATTAACAAAATTCTTATTTAAAATTTACCTATATTTCTTTAACTTTTGACCAGCAAAAACTGCTTGTTAACTTATCCATTACCTAGTGGGCGAAAAACGCCTTTGTTCCAATAACATGTCTAAATCATTTTTAGAACGTACATGTCTACTAAAATAACATTCTAAGCACGTTTCATGTTTTGAAAATTTTTTTAGAACATGAGATATTTAAAAACGTTATTTGAGAAGCCTTTGTAAGAACGGTTTTAGAATAAAGTTTTTTTTGTATCCACTGGGCATCCATGTTTTAATCTGATTGTGAGTGCATTTTTTTAAGCTAAGGATTTAAAATAAACAGTAAATAGAAGTAATTCTATATTATCGATATTTAAGCACTCATTTAATGCAATTTTAGGTACATCTTTTCATGTATCTATATTAGGGTGGTCCTTATTTTCAAAATTTTTGAACTTTTATCATTCCCAGCCAAAATTTTATTCTAAATGGAAAAAAAGGGATACATATTTTTTCATTTTGATTTTAATAAATATTTAATGGTGTCTCAAAGCCTATGAATTGTTACATATATTTTGTATGGGAAAAAACACTTTTTCGTATATTTACTGTAGAATCATTAAAAATCAACATTTTTCGATCGGACTACTCTTCTTTAAAAATGTTCAAATAATAACATACAATTCATTATTTATAAAATTTTTATTGTTTACTATTTTTTAAAGAACCTTAAAAATTTTCAAAAATGCAAAAAAATTAAATATTTCTTTAAATTTGCTTACTATTAATTTTATTTGATTTCTCTACTAGAATTTTTTATTCTTAACTGAAATATGTATTATTTGTTTTTAAAATTTCGTGTCACGTCAGGATTTTGAGTAAAGTTGGGATAAAATTTTCAAAAACCGTGTTTTTGAGGGTTTTCAGTATATTTTTTCCCCTTAACCTGACGCGATAGAGACTTCTAGGCTTAAATTGAAGCTTATATCTTACACTTTAAGACTCATGTGCGCAAGATAAAAAAAAATGATTTTTTTCAAAATTTCAAATTTTTTTTAATCTTGCTCATAATTGAAACGCAAATATTATGTAATGACAAATACGGGAAGAAAACTCGTAAATATTTGTTAAATTGAAAGAAATAATATAAAATAAAATTTTGTACCTCATCAGTTGATTTTCCAGTCGATGTTGTCGAATGCCGACGTTGCCTTGCAATCTTGAGTTCCGCGATAGTTTTTTGTGCACCCTCCAACATGTGCTTGTACGTGTCCCGTTCACGTTTGTATCTTGTAAGTTGTGTTTGTATGGACTGGATTTCGTCATTGATCGCTGAGATCCTGTGCTCATATCGCATCTTGCATTGCGCGAGATCTGCTTTCTTTGCCTTTTCTGCATTGGCGAGAGCATTTTTCGCCTTTCTTAGCTCAGACTCCAGTGCCGAGGAATCTGCCGAGAAATTTCGTTGGATTTTCGTCACGGAGTTATAATCGTTTAGCTTACTGTTCAAGTCATCATTCTGAAAGAAAAAAATTATTGTAAATTGTCATCTCCACGTCACTTTGGAATTTTATTAAAATTCCTTTACTTTTGGACCTCTTCAAAATCTGTCTCTTTATTTTTCTTACATTTGTCACACTCACAAATGTAATTTCATTCAAAATCAAATATGTACCTGAGGCATTTCATATGAGAATACGGGGTCATGTCTCGGATTTTTCTCAAAATTCGGTAAATTGTAGTGATAGTGGTGCTAAATAAGTGTACAAATTTTGAATTTCAAATTTTTAATATTTTTCAAGATATTTACAATAACAAATTTGAGCAATATTTTTTTGCTTTACTTATAACATAACATTTTTAACAAATCTAAATTATTAACAGATGATTATTGAAAATTGAGGTTTCCGCACCCTACGACACAAGTCGGAGGGGGCTGCCTACCTATTCGGCATGGTATTTTTCAGTCTTTTTCTAAATAACATTTTATCATTAATTTTTGATTCTTAGTAATACTTAATAATCCTTTTTTGACACAGAATTAGATGATCTTCCAAATAAAAAAAGAATTGACAGTTAATTTTCATTTCCTTAAATGTTATTAATTATTTAAATAATTTTTATTATTAATTATTAATTTAACACCTGTTTATCCAAAATAGTTCATATAGGGCTCGTTGGATGCGGATTTTGATAAGCATTCTAATGGTGTTTTTAAAATTACTCTAATTTTATTTGTTCGTAAAATATTTCATTTTTTATTAACTTTTGTTAGTTAATTAATTAATATCTCGAAAAAAAATAATGCTATCTCAAAAATTTAAACATCGATTTATTATGACTTAAACAATATTCATGATTTTTTTCGCGCTTCTAAATGAGGGAGAACATGTTTAAAAGTTAATATTTGTTTTAAAATAATTTTTTTCTAAAAGTTTAAAATCTTCCGCGTAAAAAACATTTACAACATTTTTCTCTATTTTTAATAGGAAAAAAGTTATAAGTAAAGCAAAAAAATATTGCTCAAATTTGTTATTGTAAATATCTTGAAAAATATTAAAAATTTTAAATTCAAAATTTGTACACTTATTTAGCACCACTATCACTACAATTTACCGAATTTTGAGAAAAATCTGAGACATGACCCCGTATTCTCATATGAAATGCCTCACCTACTATTAAAAAACATTAAATATTTTTACGGAATAATTTTAATTGAGTAAATTAATCAATCAGAAGACAAATTGAGACTTACTGCATTCTTTAAATCATTCAATTGTTCTCGTAAAGAACCATTTTCATTTCTGAGATGACTTATTTCTTCTTTGACTTCTTCCTGTGACTGAACACTCGTAACTTTTTCGAGTTCTCTTATTTTTTGCTGAAATTTGATTTTTATCTGATTAATCATTTTATATTTTTTTTATCGCTATAGAGATCAGTTATCTTTATTGGTTCGGATTTTTTATCAAAATTTTTTCATTTTTATTTGAATTTTAATTCACCAATCCCAAATACATAAAAGGCAACGTAACATTTTTTATTTTTGAAAATTTGTTTGGGGAATTTTTAGCACAAAAAGTCATTTTAATGTGACTGAAAAAGTTAAATACAATTTTTGTTTATTTAATATTTGTCAAAAGATATACTGACCTCAAAACCAATTTTTTTAGAATTCCACTCTTTTTCTTTGGACTTTAAAGTCTTTTGAAGATCATTTAGCTCCGTTTGAACGACATTGATTTTAGCTTGTTGTTCAGTAAATCGGCTAAAAAAATTGAGAAATATTCAATTATTATATTTGTATCCATTTTGAAAGTTGATTGCTTAAAAAATTGAAATCTACCTGTTTAACGCCTGATTTTCTCCAACTAATTGTGTACTGGATTCTACAAGTTTTTCATGTTTCGCGTTTAATTCCTCGAATTGCTGTAAGCCCTTCTTCACTTCATTTTCAAGATCTGTGAGGGTATTTTTATTTTCACATTAGTATTGTTAATTATAATTTGATTTTTAAATCAAAATAAAATATCTTACTTAATATTCTCTCGTTATACGATTGTTTCAAATCGTTCATTTTTTTCGTATTCAAGCCTGTTTTTTCTAGAAAACTAATTTTTTTCTTAAGTGTACTAATTTCTAAGTCTTTTGATTCTTTATCCTTCTCCGACAGACTCTTTAATTGGTCCTTTTCTCTTTTAAATTTATCTATATCTGCATTCAAATCTGTAATTGTCTTTGACGTTGAAAATTTGAGGTTTTCAATTTCTTGAACCTTGCAGTTTAAGTTAGTCTCAAATTGAAGTTTCGCATGTTCAACCTGTTTGTCATATAGAGATATAGAAATTGATTTTTAATGACGTATAATAAGAATTAAAAAAAATTTACCGAAGTTAATGCTTGTGTAATTCTAGCTTCTTTTTCAGTGGCCAATGCTAAACCTTCCTCTAATTTTTTATTTGTTTCCTTTTCTTGTGCAAGTTCTTTTTTTAAATCACTTAAGACAGTTTCCATTTTTGCGTTATCTTTCTTGGAAGATGTGTTTGCCTCTAAATAATAAAAAGTATTGTCAAACTTTATTTTAATGTTTTGTTTTTTTAATAAATTGTCATTTTTACTTAAGCTTTAAATGTATTCTTGCTTTATTTTTTCTCGAATTTTTGAAAATAACTTACCAAGTTCCTTTTTGAGTAAAACAACTTCATTGTATATTTTGAGTTTTTCAGCAGAAAGTGACAAAAGTTTGGATTTTAATTTTTCCTTTTCCTCTTGTAATTTTCCTTTCTCAGTGTCCCAAGATTTTCTCTCAATATTTGTTGAAGCAATTGTATCATCCAATTTTTTCTTCACTAAAATTTAGTTGGAATTTAATAATTTAAATAAAATAAAATTTATGTTTTTATTTAGATAAAAATATCCTCTTACTACTTTGAATTTCACTATTTTTTCCATCCTCATTTTTCGCAATTTTCGATTTTTTTGTCTCTTTTTCAGAAGCTAATTCCTTCATTGCCTTTTCCAGTTTTTCTTTCAAGAGTTCATGTTCCTTCGTTAAAGTATCATATTTCAAATTGGTGTCATTTACTTTGGAATTTCGAAAACCAGTTCCGCCACCTTCGATTGCAGTCACTATCATACCAAGAATGTCACCTAAAATTAATTATTCATTTATTTCAAATATAATTTGTTTACTTCGTGATTTGGAAAATAATTCATATAAAAATATTCTCAAAACGATAAAGGAAATCCAACCTATATCCTTATCTATAGCGTCCATCATTTTTTTAAGATGAACTTTCGACTCGAGCTCTATGTTTCTCTTTGGTAATTTGTTTTTATATTCAGTGCCTACTTTTTTTAACAAATCCTCTAGTTTTTTTGCCTGAAAAATAAACAGTCAACATTAGGGAAGTCCAAAAATGTAAAGGATATGATAAAACGTTCAAAAGAATGAATTTATATTGTAGAATTGTAAATTAAAAAATGTTAACCGTTCTTTACCGGATCGTAAGATATTGTATAAAATTGTGCAACGATTGAAAATAAAACAGATATCTTAAAATGAAATAAAAACATACTTGATCATATTTCTTTTCTAAATCAACTTTCTCCGTCTCCAATTGTTCGGTTCTTCTTTCAATTTTTCTCAGTTTAAACGAAAGAATTCGACAATTTTTATTTGATTGCTCCAAATTTTTCCTAAGACTCAGGTACTCGTCCGCTTGCTCCTCCCTGTAATATTACATAATGTCTTACCTCAAGCATGTTACTGATGAAAGGCTACAAATAAAATGATTGAGATCATAAAAACAAAATAATGGGTAATAAAAAAGTCTTGCCTGAAGTTATCTTGCATCTCGTAAATTTCTTCTTCCAATTCTCGAATTTCTTTCTTCATGTCTTCGTTTTCGTCCATAAGAGTCTCACACAATGTTTCGGCTGCCTTCAATTTTGACTTTAATTCCTCGTTCAATTTCTCTCGTTCATTTTTGTTCGTTTTTACGTTTAGCTCTTTTTCCAAACTTTTTACTTTTGACGTTAGACTGCCTTTCTCTTCACTCAGAGCTACGAAATAAATAACCAATAGTAATATAATAATTATAATATTAATGATAATGGGAAATAAATAAAATAGTAAAATTCTGATGAATACCCTCAGTTTTGGCTTGAAGCTCTTTAACAGATTTTTGTAGTTTCATCACTTCATTGCTGTTACTCTTGCTGTTAGAGACGGTATCCATGCTAGACAAACGGCGAAGTAGAATTTCACTTTTTTCTTTCTCTACCCTTTCGCATCTTATTCTTAAATCACTCAATTGTGCCCGAAGTTTTTCGATTTCATTCTGTAATAAGTGTTTTAATATCACGTAACTACAAAGTTTACTGAAATGAATCAATGAAATTTTCTATATTACCTTTTCTGTTTTTCCACCTTTTCCATTTACGGCATCAACGGGATTTCCTTTTTCACCTTTCGATGACACGCCACTTTCAACTGAACGTGGTTTTCTGACCTAAAATAATAAATTTAATCAGTCTCTTTAGATTGGAAAAATTTTCTTTTGACTTTAAAGAACCTGGTGTCTGCGTTAGTTGAATTTAAATCATTTTTCTTGACAAACATTCTATACATCTGAATAAATAACAAAATTATAAAAGTTTTAAGATGAAAAATAAAAGATTGGCACTAATAATGATTATAATTTAGTATTTACAAAATAATATTTTAACAAGTTCTAATTTAGAATGTGTGAAAAATTGATCAGTGCGTTATTTGCTATAAACTTTTTTGTAATAAGAACATCTTTATATGTACATTAATCATCGGTCTTCTAAGTATCCACATTCAAAGTCTCTCGACATTTAACAAACTTGAAACAGAAAGAAAATTTGGCAGTCTGCCAGAATGCGGTATGTGTCAGGTATCTTGAAAGTATAAGAGTTGAGAACCCCAAAAAGTATTATATTAGATCATGGACGTTCACTTATTTTTCATACTTATTCTTTAATAAAATGTATGGGCTGCCTTAAAATCTGGCAGGCAGCCAAAGAATTCGCTTCTCTTTATTCTGATCATATACATATATATTTGCCATAATAATATTCTGATTTAATTTTGTACATTTAGAAAAATTTTCTCTCGTCAACTGTATGTAAAAATATAATAAAAATTAAAATTTTTAACAATTTTTTTTTAAACTAAACTTCCTTTGTGAAAGTATAAAATTTTCTACAAACCAATAACACCGTCCGAAACGATTTTGCACACATGAAAAAGTCAAGCATTTTTGAAGAGTAGGTCTTTCTTTCTTCAAATTTAAAAAAATTTTCTCCTGTTGAAACATTTAAAAAAAATTTTTTTTTGGTCTCATAAAATACAATTTTTTATGTATTTCATTATCACATATTAACAGAAATAGGACCTACACATTTTCAAGGTCAAATTTTACGTTGTTTGTTCAAAAAAATAAATTTTATCGAATTCAACCTTGAAAATGTTAAGATACCAATGTCCAAAATGGAGAAAATTTGATTTTTTTTTAAATTTGAAGAAAACAGGATTTTTTTAAAAAAAATAGATTTTATATATTTTTTAAGTATAGAAAAAACCTTTTTAAACCTATATAATAAAAGTTATTTTGATTAAATTCTTTGGAAATTATGTTAACGCAAATTTCTGAAGTACCGCTTTAAGGTCATGTGATTGTTGTAATTTCACATGCAAATATTTTCCGCGGGTTTTCTCGCAAAGAACTTAATAGATTAACCTAAAATTTGATGAAAAATATTAAAATGATTCACTGTCATGTGCCAGAGTATATTAATATTTTGTCAAAAAATTTATTCTTAAGAAATTAAATATTACGAGAAGTGACTAAAATTGTATTACCGCCATTTATTGAATTTTCCTCAAATATGGAATAATATAAAAATACATATAAATTTTTTGACAAAATATTAATTCTCAGGTATCGTAAAAGCGATTCCTTATACTATTTTTGAATTCTCTATAAAATTTTAGTTTAATGTATCAAGTGTAAAAGTAAGACTTTTTTTGAGGCGGTTCCCGAGGCGAAATTTGAATCCTCTTTAGTGTAGACTCCGTAGACCCTCCTTTGAATCCAAACGTGAAAGATAGGGAAATTTGCGACTGGTTGAGAAAGCTAAAGAGGGTCTAGTTCAATTAAAAAAATACAAAAAAATATACTCTTTTAATTATTTTGATTAAAGCAAAATGAATTTTTTTTCACACAATTTTTCTTTAATTACCCTTTAAAAACTGGAATTAACATATTTTGAAGCGTTTTCAAAAAATTAATAGAATTAGAGCAAGTTCAAAATTTTCAATATTTTAATCAATTTTTAGACCCCACTTTGAATCCAAACATGGAAGAAAGGGAAATTTGCGACTAGTTGAGGAAGCTAAAGAGGGTCTGTTTACTCCTTGTAAAGTAGGCCTTAAATTTCGTCTCGGGTTACTCTTGATGAATTTTTACCCATATATAGGTAAAATATCTTTTGTGTAATGATTTAAAAATATTTTTTTAATTGAAAAAAACTCTTCTTTACCTGTACAATAAATTCAGCGTCAGTGTCAGAAGCATTTCCATTACTTTTACTAATGACTTCTTTGATTTGTAATTTTTGCGGTCTATCAATGACACTTTCGTCAACTGAATGACGTCGAAAATTAAAACTATCGGATTGTGAGCCAACATAAGTTTTTGGTCTTGAGGTAGTTTTACTTTTTACAGTAGTAACAATTTCTTCAGTAGTATTGTCTTGAATTGAGGTGAGATCTAGTGCCGAGTTCCAGGTGACAGTTACTTCCGGAATGATGTGGCTTTTTGACTCGTCTTTTAATAAATTTGACGTTGACGCCCACGTTCTTTTGCTGTCGGAATTCCCTGCAGAGCTGAATATTCAACTTTACAGTATAAATGTTCACCAGTTTATTCACAAACAAGTATAATTAATTTGTACTCCTTAAGGGGATACCATATGCCTTCACTTAATTTTCATTTTGCAAGAAAATGTAATCTATTATTTTTTTTCTAGGAAAACTTTAGACATTCAAAACTTAAGATATTTATTCATCTTGTCAAATTTTAACAAATAGCTAGTCACAAAACATTCATTAAGTCAATTTTTTTAATATAAACTCTATATTCGATTTATCTTTGGGATATTTTGTTTAGGTATTAGTTTTTAATTACTTGAAAAATTGCTTGATACTGTGAGTACAATAATTTTAATACATTAATAAAGTACTCTCTAAATTTTAATTAGTAAAAGTTTTAACTAAATTGCATTAGTGACTCTCATTTTGCTTTTGAATTAGATAAATTTTACTAATTCAGTTTTATTATTAATAAGATTCTTTATTTTTTCAAAGTAATAAATTATGATCAAAATATATAATGAAATTAAGTCATCCTGAAAAATATGTAATTATTTTCGTTTCTATTTCTATATATATTTCGAAATCAACATAAAAATAACAAGCATATAGTGGAACAACTTATGTATTTATCATAAAGTGGAATCTAAGGAATTTTCCTTAACAGATTGTTATAGAATATAAATTTCAATTTTAAAGAAGATTTTAAAATTTATTATGAAATTAGTCTTTAAGTGTGAGGTATTCTCCTCAGTCAATGTTATTCTATACATACTTACTTTTTTGATGATTGCTCGCGAGGTGATAAAGTAGGTGTCGATGATGTTGTGTCTTTTATGCTTCTGCTTTTTCCTACATGATCCTTATAATCCCTGACAAACCGAATATATTAGTCAAAATGTATAATCTAATCTAAATATGACATGAAAAGAATATAATCATTAATTGTAAATGTTATTGTAAATTTAAATGCATATGTGTTGACAGCATGTTATATTTAATATAAAAACATGTTTATCCAATCCAATCAGTCCAATTTCATGCAAAAAAAACTTGCTTTAAAATATGTTTAAGCAATTAACTTTTTTCTTGAAAAATATTCCGTTCTAGTCAAAAAATTGAGAAAAATATAGTGACTATGAAAAGAAGGTATTTTTCTTTTAATTCAAGAATTTGACAAAAAATATTCAAGTCGGAAAAAAGTTAGTCTGGCATGAGTGCTTATTTATTGATATTTTAATAGAAAACACGTTTTTAAAAAAAAAAACACTACAAAATGGTTAGTATTTGATTTAAACTAACAGCAAAAATCGCGCAAGCAACTTGATCGCAGTCAATAATCATGTCTTTGACGTCATTCTGTATCATAAATAAGATATATACGACTATTGCTGTCTGTCTAATTTTCAAGTTTTCTCGTGTAGAATTTTTTTGTGTAGGGTTTTATTTACATAAAATCGCTATACCACCAACATACACATTCAACGTATATGGTATTCAATATTAAAACTTGAATGTGAATCTATATGGCTTTTTCATGTTTTTGACAAATTATACAGATTTTGACAAAAAGAAAGAACCCAGTAAAAAATTAGAAGTAAATTTTCTACGTGTGGAAATAATTGTCAGATTTCTACAGGATAAAGAAATTTTCTCCGTGAAAGGTTATAGTAACATTGTTATTTTAAAAAAAAATCTTCCGTGTATCACAATGAAGTTTAGATTCATTTTGATAATTTAAAGAGAAAAAAGAAGTTAGAAATGAAGACATTGCGAAAAAGTATGGAAGCATCAGGGAATGAGTTCCTAAACATTCTTATTATAGTGTAAGATTTGTAAGCACTTGACACTCGAGATTGGATGGCTATATGTGTTTAAAGGTATATATTTGTTAGTTCACAGCATTTTGCGGCATAAACACACGATTTGTATTCATTCGCGAGAGCAGGGAATTCGAGTTTCTGCATATATTTTGCTCCGCTATTACAGTACTTCTGTTCCAAATGCAATTCACTGGCCAATGCAACCGAAAGTATTATTACCGATAATTGTACGTTTTTGTATAAATACTTTATTAAATCCGTCTTTATTTCACCTCAAACATTTTTACCAATCTTATGTTATCCAAATGATTTGAGGTTCATGCACGAAAATTAAATTTCTGCGTTAATTTCATATTATTTCGTATGCAAAAAGATATGCCATTATATGCGTTACAATATAAGGTTTTACATATCAATAAAGGCTTCTTGGAATTCAATTACGTTAGTTGGCAAATAGAATCTTGTCCTTATTACTCCCAATTTCAAAATTTTTCAAATTACGTATCAATTTTACACTTCGAATGTAAAATTTTGTAAGTAGCTACTATTTTTCATTTTATATATATATATATATATATATATATATATAATTATTCGGTCTAGAAAGAAATTAATTTTACCCAAATTTAAATCAAATCAGTTTTTATCTTATATAATATATAAGAAATAAAATATAAAGTTATTGCACTATATTAAAAAATTTCCAATTGTCTATTTTTTATTCTAAAAAATTATTTAAATATTTTAATTGAAGGTCTACACAGAGAAAAAAAGAATAATTAAACTTATCTTGGGGAGTATAAAACTTGTCAAAATTTCAGTGTTAACTATAACACCGTCCGACACGATTTTTCACACACGAAAAAATCAATGATTTTCAGAAACTAGGACCAAAAAAAAGATACCCGTGTCTGGCCGTTTTGCTAGATCAGGTCATTTTTTGCTTTTAGGGGTAAAAACAACCCTTAAATGAAAGGTGATAGGAAATCTTGTACAAATTAATAATTTTTTATGAAACCTGGTATCTCGGGGTTTTCCGAGTCGCTGATTACGAATCTGATGTCAGATTTTCAAAATTCAAAATGGCGGATCCAATATGGCGGTCGAATTTTTAAAAAAATCATCTAATTAGACTGAAACCTATTATATGGGGGTTTTTGGGGTCGCTGATTACGAATCCGCTGTCAGTTTTCAAAAATTCAAAATGGCGGATCCAATATGGCGGACGAATTTTTTTAAAAATCATCTGATTAGACTGGAACTTGTTACTCATAGGTTTTTAGGGACGCTGATTACGAACCTGGTGTTAGTTTTCAAAAACTCAAAGTGGCGGATCTATAATATTTCAAACGAATGTTCTTAGAAATCGTCTAATTAGACTAGATGTTGTTATATATCTTGATTAATTTAAATAACAACATTTAATTAACTTTTCTTTAAATAGTAGTTTTTTTAAGTAGTACATGTCGTTTTTCATGTTTTAAACATCAAATAATTGTTTACTGAAATGGTTAAATAATTAAAGTATATTTCTGTTGGTTTCATTATTTATCAGTAGTTATTTACTGGTAGGTTTATGTTTTAGAAAGTTCATTTAACAGTTTAACTTTGCAAAACGATAATATTAGAATAAACGGAATAAATAATATGAAGAACAAAAACTAAAAAAACGATTTTCACTTACTTACAAACATATTTACAAGTTGTAGTTAGTAGTATTTCGGATCTTAGAAACTTTGCTTAAACATTGCTAAAAAAACAGGAAATGCAGCTTATTAGTTAAAACTCTCGACTCATATGCATTGCTTTTAGGGTTTAATTCCCAGCTGGGGTACTATTTTTTCGTGATAATAGTATTATCTTATTATTACTGATTATTGCAGTAATATTATCAGGTAATGTTACTATTATGCGGACATTTTAATATTACTGTAATATTACTGTAATATTACACCGAAATAATACGAGTATTTTTTGTAATATTCCATAAACATTCGGTTAAAATAGCATGATGCTTGGGTTATCTATTAAAACTAAATATTTCTCTTTTTTGTATTTCTTATGCTGCGAATAGAAATCTTGTTTTCTGTAAATGAAAATAATTATTTGGCCATATTGGATCCGCCATTTTGAATTTTTGAAAACTGACAGCGGATTCGTAATCAGCGATCCCAAAAACCCCCATATAACAGGTTTCAGTCTAATTAGATGATTTTTTTAAAAATTCGTCCGCCATATTGGATCCGCCATTTTGAATTTTTGAAAACTGACACCGGATTCGTAATCAGCGACCCCAAAAACCCCCGAGTTACGAGTTTCAGGCAGTTTTATTTAATTGTTTTCGTTTTACTCACTTTAGAGTATTTCCGAGATTCACACTCTGTTAATTTTCAACTTTAACCTTAATTAACAAAAAAGTTATTGATTTTTTTGGATTTTGTCATTAAGATTTTTTGTTCAGAAGGTCAAAAACTACTAATTCTGAAAATATAAAAGAATTTAACGGTAAGCTATTTTCAATGCATTTTGTGCGGGGTCCTTTCGACCGCCATATTGGATCCGCCATTTTTAATTTTGAAAATCTGACATCAGATTCGTAATCAGCGACCTGGAAAACTCCGAGATACCAGGTTTCATAAAAAATTATTAATTTGTACAAGATTTCCTATCACCTTTCATTTAAGGGTTGTTTTTACCCCTAAAAGCAAAAAATGACCTGATCTAGCAAAACGGCCAGACAAGGGTATCTTTTTTTTGGTCCTAGTTTCTGAAAATCATTGATTTTTTCTGTGTGAAAAATCGTGTCGGACGGTGTTATTGAATGGTTACCACATTTTAGAGACTCTGTCGGATAAAGTTTTTTTTTACTTTGTATACGACTATATATAATAAATAAAATAAATAATAATTATTAATAAATTAAAATCATATTTTTAATGAATATTAATGTTGTTTTAATTTTATCTATAAATATAATAATACGTAATATTAATAGGATTATTATTATTACTATTATTATTAAGAATTATTGAACGCGAGAATAGTAATAACAGTGGGAACAGTCTTGACCAAGTCTGAATCAGAATTCGGCAAGATTGATTCAGTCTTGGACGCCAATGCTCAACCCAGCCTCAAGCGTCAGGCTTAGATCGGTGTTAAGGCGGTTCCAGAATAGGTGCAAAAGCCAAGTACAAGTGCCAGTCCAAATGCAAATCCCATGAGTGTAAAAGAGATAGATAGAGTACCTTTCTCTCTTGCACTGATAGGATTTGCATTTGGACTTGCATTTGTACTTGGTTTTTGCACCTATTCTGGAAACGCCTTTACATTCTAGACTGGAGCAGCCTTACTTCCACTGTCTCACCAAGGCTCAGTCAATATTGACCAATGCTCAATCAATCTTCATAAAGCCTCAACTCATCGTCATTTCGCGCCTGGGAACCCTTTATTGTTTGTACCTAAATTACTACCTTCGTAGTGTCAGAATGGAAATATTCAGTTTTACCCTCCAGGAAGGTGAAATACAATCTTTTATCGGTTTTATTCAATTTTTTCAAAAGAAATGTTTAATTACAGGAACATTTAATTTAAATAATTAAATTTAAATTTTTTAAATTTTCAGTAATTAAGAAGTTTTAAAAATTATTCAGCTATCTTAATAATAATATTTTGTAAAAAGAAAATTTTTTAGAAGAGAAAAATAATTAAACTATTTAAAAATATTGAATTTAAGTTGTACCAGTGATTGGTACCAGTGGTATACTTATCGCTGATTCAAATTTAGAGAGAAGAATAAATAAAATAAAGAAGTTATATTTACTTAAGGGTTGACTGTACTGTACATTAATTTTGAGATCAGGTTTTTTCCGTTTGCGCAAAATGTTTGATAGATTGAGCTAAAATTTTGTGAAGAACTGAAAAATAGTATAAGGAATTGCTATTCTATACCAGAGTATTAATATTTTATCAAAAAATTGTTATTTCTATATTATTTTATATTTGAGGGGAATTTAATAAACGATTTTAATCATTTGTCCTATTTCTCGTTATTCAATTTTTTTAAATAAATTTTTTGACACTTATATTGCTAATGCACATTAAAAAAGAAAAGAAGTTCAATATTCGAGTCCAGGGGGATTCTTGAAGTAGAAAAACTACATCACAGAAGTCATATTTAATGTGTCGTAATAGAGTTTTATTTAATTCAATAGTCTATTTTGACAAAAGCCTTAGTGAAATCGATGTAATCTGCATCCACCTGGCGTCCATATTCAAGATTATGTAGAACAAAATTTAAGAAGACATACTTTAGTTAGTTAAAACAGATCTTCCGCTTGTGAAACCGTGCTGCCCGTCAATGAATTGAATCAAGTTGTCTAAATAGTTGATCATAAAATTAGACTTTCAAAAATTTTAGAGTGCTTAAAATGACTATGCACGCATGTCGATAATAATTAGTGCAGAATCTCGTCAGGGCCAACCCTATTTTAGTTTCCCAATCAACACGAAAACCTGCAGGAAGCTTGCCGTGCAAGATTACAGGCAAACATGTAGTAAGTTTGGTGCAAGCAACAAAATGTCCTCTTACGGCAAGCTTGCAGGGCAAATTTGGCGCTAGCTTGCTGCAAGTTTGCTGCAAGCTTGTATAATATTAAAAAAAAAAATTTTATACCTCGGTCGAAAGCATGTATCTCCCGCATCGACTACACAGCAGAAAGTCGAATATTTGTGCATTTCTATAGCAATTCACAATGATGTTCTTGATGCACACGCGCGCCATCTATTACAGCGAGAGCAAAAATACTTTTGTAAATGGCTCGGTCGGTAACTCTTCGCGATTTTAACCAACAGAACCGAGTTAAACTGCTGTCAACTGGTTTCCCCCCCCCCCTCTCTCTCTCTTTCTCTTACAGTCGTTTTTACCCAAGTAGCGGTTAAATGTCACGGTGATATCAAATGGGAATATTCCTGTGACATTCAGGCAATATCATAATGTCCGCTTCATGGGGACATTCCACGGTAATATTCCTGTGACATTCGCGTGATATTCGTATGATACTGAGGGAATATTCCAGTAAAATTCATGTAATATTGAGGGGATATCCCTGTGATATTAAGGGAATATTCCTCTGATATTAAGGGAATATTCCAGTGATATTGATGAGATAATTTAAAAATTCTAAAAAAAAATTTTTCAATTTTTTCCATTTATTTATTTTTTTATTTAAATATTCAAAACAATCAAAACAAATAACATTTTAGAATTTTATAAATAACAGGAATATTCTCTCAATATCACAGGGATATTCCCTCAATATCAGAGGAATATTCCTTCGCAATATCACAGGAATATTCCGCTCAATATCACAGGGATATCCCCTCAATATTACATGAATTTCACGGGAATATTCCCTCGGTATCTTACGAATATCACGCGAATGTCACAGGAATATCACCGTGGAATGTTCCCATGCTTCGCTCGTGCAGGAAATGTCGGGGCAGGCATCGAAAAAAGAGACATGACTGAAAGAGAGAGACAGAGAAAAAGTCAGAGCTTCCGAGTGTCCGTGTGAGTTAGAGGCGTTGAAGCGAGGAGCAAAAGTAAAAGGTGGCTGGCTGTCAAATAGAATACGCAATTGAAATATTTTTAATTAGTGAATTATTGTGCGTACTTTCGACCGTGTATAAAGAAAAATAGTATACATTACACGGCGGGTAGAACAGTCGAAAGCCGTCGAAAGCCCTAAACTGCGCGATAATGCCCTCGGCTTCACCTCAGGCATCATTTCGCGCAATGCCGGAATTCGAACTTTTTCCCCTTATAATGTAATACACTATTTTTTTAGTAACATTATGTTTCTAAATAAACATAAAGGAACATCCAAAGCACCCTGCTTTGGAGGTTAAAAAATTTATTGCACAACCGTAGGAGTTTCCGTTTACATCTGCGCATTATGTTTGGTTTTGCAAAGCAGCAAGCTTGCCGTAAGAGGACATTTTGTTGCTTACACCAAACTTGCTACATGTTCGCACTGCAATCTTGCACATCTTGCACGGAAAGCTTCCTGCAAGTTTTCGTGCTGATTGGGTTCAAGTGATTTGAACTTTAATATATTTAATCCCCTGGAAATAAGAGAAAATATATTCACCTCTCCGTACCTCGAAATAATTAGCCAAAATATATATTTATAGTGGTGCGAAAAAATAAACAAAAATAAAATGGGATTTGAAACAGTTCGCAATATCAATACTATAGTATTAGCAGTAATTTGACTCTGGTATTAGACTTCATTTGGAATTCTAGAACTCTCACGCAAAGTATTTACATAATTTTAAAAAAATACTTAGGATTAGAAATATAACTGAGTTCCCAGTATGGGCAATAAAGTTATTATAACATATCTTAGACTTTAATTTACATTCAGAAAATAGTCGAAAAAAAAATTAGGTATCCAGACACGGCATTTGTACGATTGCTATTGAGATGAACTTGCTTTTTCTAAAGATACTAATCGTTTAATACTTTTTTTTGTAAAGCTGCGTAATGACACAGTCCCCCATAAAAAAATAAGTGTCCTACGCGGTAGACCAGAGTACCATATATCCTGATGCCCTGAACACGAAATCTTAAGTCAGATTTCCGCTCCATCACGTCATGATTTTTTTCTAACCTCAAAAAACAGGTCGCATTTTGTAGCAGATAAACTTTTTAAATATTGACGGATTCACGTGACTCTTATAGTTGTTTTTTAGGTCACTGATTAAGAATCTAGTAAAATTTTTAAGATTAGAAATGTTGAAAATCCAATTGTTTACATTCAAAACGTCATCTAAGAGTTTTTGGGATACAATCTATATTTTAATGACAAGTTTTTTTAACATAAAAATAGTCGTTATGGATTTCTCAGACTTTTATTCGTAGTAAAAGAAGACTGCTAGTATCATTGCAAAAATGAACAAAAGCAAAAGGCACAAAAAATTGTCTTAAAAATGACCACGTAAATGTCTCAAAGAAGACACTCGTTTCTGCAGTGTGATTCTAAATTACTGAGTCAGTACAGCATGCCAGTGTTTAACTGCGTCATACCGTGGACATTTCGGAACAAAAGTAAGTCCAATTTTATATTTTGTATATCTTCATATAAAAAAATATTTTAAGCTCTTCAAAACTGTTGCAGTTTAAGCGTAAACAATTTAGTTTCTGTTAATAATTACTGTCAAAAAGTTTGAATAAACATTCAAATGCAATTTTTAATAATTTACAGTATATTATTGAAAAACTTCCAAATAATAGATTGTTCTTTTTTTCTATTAAAACTTGATTTATATGAAATTGAATAATGTATTTTTTCGAACAAGTAAAAATCCGTATGTCCGGTTATAAAGATAGTTTTCCATTTGAGCAGTTCCGTTTTCTTTCTTGGAAGAAAGACTCTCACGTAAAATACATTATACGTATCTAATTCCTCTCTCATTTAAATAACAAGACAAAGGTAAGTGTTAGTTGAAAGCAAGTGGAGTGAAAACAAATGAAAGAGTGATACCTGAAGCATCGTTTACAGCGTGTCGGCCATCGCACTTGCGGATGAAAGCCAAGAGGACATAAAGGATCCCCTTTGGCCGTTGGGTACAAGTGATGCATTCTAAACACGAGATTTACATCGAGTTGTCGGAACCGTCAATATGTCACTTGAGTTCACACGACGATAATCATCATAAGACGTAGCAATTTTACCTCGTACTTTCTAGATTTCATTTAATCTTCAAATTTTAAAAGTGTATCACTTTGTTTCACAGATTCAATATATTTGCATCTACATATAAATATACATATATATGCCAATTCGAAGATTCGTAAGTTTTTTCAATTTTTTCCTCTTTCAATTAAAGACGAGACAATGCAACTATAAATTCATTCAACAATATGAGATTCTGCTATTATTCTATAAAATAATATATATATATATATGAAACAATGAATTCATTGTTCATTACTTTCAACTACAATTCAAGTTCTTTAGATTCATTCTAATTTTTAAAAAATAATAGGTAGTTAGTAGATTCGGTATTTGTATTGTTGAAAAATGATATTTGAAACACAAAGGCAATTTTATGAAAGTAAATTGCTTAATCGTTTTGAATTGCATGTATTTGCTTTTTACCTTGTTTCTAAATAATTGTACTTTTGTAAATTGCAATTTTTGAAAAAAAAAATTCACTAGAATGAATGAAAAAGTTTTTTTTTTTAAAGAAACACTCTCTCACATGGTAAAAATATTTTTTCAAAATTTAAGTGTCATTTATTTAATAATATAACATTTTTTACCAACAAACAATATTGTTAATTGAATTTTAGTAAATTATTAGTATTTTATGTAATTTGAATTCTTTGTTATCAACAATGATGGTTAATATAATGTTTAAACCATTACTTTTTATGAATGATTTGTAGTCGAAATGACAAAAAACGATAAACGTCAATCCAAACTTCACTTTTATTAATTTATGTTTTTTTAAAAACACATTAATTATGATAAATCATAAAAATTGAATTTATAAAATTAGTCATACGTTTTAATCGCCTATTGTGAAATTGAAAAAAGTAAGTTATACGTGTCCTGAATTTGTTTTTTATTAATATTACATTCAACTTCACTTTCTTAAATATTGTTCTACTTATTTAATTCAAGTGCAATTTTTTTACTTTTTTCACACAACTGCCAACTTTGACGTTTCCCAATTCGTTACATTTTTATAAAAATAAAATCTAATAATGTTGAATGATAAAAATTAAAAATGAATTAGAAATAAATTTTTTTAAAATTCAAATATGTTAAATATCATCATTTGATATAAATGCAAAAATAATTTCTTCTGCAAATCGACTATTTTCATCTAGACCGCGTAAATTTGTCATTTCCGGTTAATATACAGAAAATCTATTTCGATTCTCTGATATTTTCACGGACACACGAGATAGTAAACACTTAATCTGCGACATTCCAGTTTTCTATGCTTATTTTACTATACATCACAAAAATAACCATTTCAATCACTTTTAAAAATTTTTTTTCTCTAATACACCAAATTTGCTTAATGAAAATTTTTTATAAAAATTTTTCATAAAAATAATTAATTTAATTACGACAAAAAACCAATTCATTTCACTATATATTCACTTTATGCACAATTTTTCTTCTCCATTGTGTCTGATGAGGATTTACGGATATAACGTGTGTTACGTAATTTTGAGTCGATTTTCAGAGCCAATTCTTAGTGGAGTTGGGTCGCTAACCCAAATGCAGCGATTAAATTTATCCTCGAGGGGCAAACAATCATTGGCTGGGCTCTTATTTGCAAATGTCCTTAGAGAGGAAAAATGATTGAAAATGAAAAAAAAATTGAAAGAAAATTATTCCTTACGAATAAATTATAATTTGTCCACAAGAGGGCACTGTTTCCTTTTTTCGTATATATTTATAGAAAAATATTTTCGCGCGCGTTTTGCGCCCCACCACATCGTTTACATGCCGGTCTCAAGAATTTTGAAAATTTTTTTCTAGGATTCGATTAGCGAGCGCCTAGACGTCGGAGACTGCACTGACATGCTACTATTACGGGGTTAGATCGTAGTTAGCAGTTAACAGCGCGAGCGTGCTCGATTGGGCGTCTGCCAGGGTGTATATTTATCTCTAGCTATAAATATAGTGCACGCAAGCTGTTCAGGGTGTCTACGCACAATACAAGAGAAAAGGGCTTTCCTTTCCGAATTTGGATGTTTTAAATTAATTTCTTGCTATGGGCAAAATTTTTCGTTCTCTCAATTCTATTCTTTTTATGTCTATTGTTTCATGTGTTTAGGTTTACATTTTTTGTATTCTATTGAAAACGATGAAAATGTGAAATATAACTTTTTTTGAGGCGCATGAATTTTCCATAAAAATGATTGATTAGAATTTTCATTTTAAAAAATTTTATTAAATATAATTATTTTTTAGGCGAATTTTCATTTTTCAAATTAGAATTTGACATTTCTTTTTAAATGAATTTTTATTCTTATATTTGACAGAATCTTAAGTGTTTCGGATTTTTAAATGGCAGAATATCCAATTTATCAAATCTTCATTTGTCCGAATTTTTATTTGTACGAATTGTTATTTGATAGAAATCTTAAAACTTCAAATTTCCTTTGACCGAAATTGCGAATATCCAACAAACAATCGACAGAAATATTTCAGTGCGAATTTTAAAATTAACTAATATTAGAAATTATATTAAGAAAATTGTGATATTGGGTAATTTTAAAAGTAAGGTCAAAAGTATCTGCAACAAACATTTTTCCAGGTTTTTTCTGTGATTAATTTAGACAAGTTAAAATACTTTGTTTAAAATAATTAAAAAAAAGTATATGAAGCATATAAATATATTTTTTCCAGTAGCAATAAAACAGAAAGCATTTCATTTTTATTGTTACTGGAAAAAACCTTTATTGTTTCACGTGACAAAAATTGTTATGTCTCGGCGAAGCGTCTGGAATATCATTTTACTTTTGCGATAATTGTTCAAATAACGAGAAAAATGTCTTTAAAAAAGTCAGGCCACCGTTTTTAATATTTAACACACAGGAACATCGTTAAATTGATAAAAATCTATACTGTATGAAGCAAACACGAAATATAAATTTTACTAAAATATTTTAAAAATAATTGCAGTTTGGTAAAATTTATTTCTATAATTATATATATAATAATTTTTGTTAAGGTTAAAGAAAATTATATAGTGCACCTTATTTATTTGGACGAGTTATAAAAAGAATATTTCTGTATAGCTAAAGCACATGTCCTCTTGAATTATCGAGGCCGCATAAGAGTATAGAGAATTTCTTTACGTTTAAAACTAAATTTGATCTATATGCAATTTGGCTTTTCTTGTAAGTCACGCTTTTTAAAATAGAGAGAACTTATTGGAAAGTTCAAGGGTTTTAAAGTGAAGGGCACACCAGCAGCTAACAAAGGATAAATTCTAAAGCCAATCACTATGAACAAGACGCAACATGTATAAAGAGGGAAAGAATTTCTGTCAAAAATGATGAATTATGGAATTATTTCACTGTTATTATGTACACACACACTTCTGGCAAAAATGATGAAACCACCTGCTTTTTGTGATAAGAGTTTCGACAGGAGTGACGAATTTAAATGTTCTTGATCTCATTTTAAAAATACATTCCTTAGAACTTTATTGTAAAGAAGGGAACGCGGTGTTTCCCCTATAGATGTAGATTAAATATAGAACGAAAGTTTTCTCTGACTAATGCAAAATTAATTCTAATCAATTTAACAAATCAATAATTTTATAATAATATAGATTCAAGTAATATTCTTATAATAATACTTGAAATTATCACTCGGAGGTATTTTAATAATATTGATCACTCCGAGTCAAATTGAATAAAAAAAATCACTATTCTTAATATGTCAACAGCACAGTCATTCTTTTCAGAAATTGAAAGTTTATTAAAACTAATATAAGTAAATACAAAAATTGTTTTTAATATATGTTATTTTATTCTTAATGTTAAAAAACTTTTATTTACTCTGTAAATCTTAATAAGTGTATATGCACTTATTTATATTTCAAAAGTCTTCCACATGAAATAATAAGTACAATATACACTTATTCATAAGTAAAATTTCATTTATTTTAAGTATGCACTTATTTCTTCACGTGGAAGACTTCTCACTATATTATTTAGATTTATTTTTATAGTTTATTTTTTTAATATTCTGTTTTCAATTTTGAATAGCAACAAATCCATATGAGATAGAAACCCAAATAATTGAATTAACTAGTTTGGAACTTATTACACAGTGGTTTTTGGGGTCACTGATTGCCAATCCGATGTTAGTTTTTAAAAATTCAAAATGGCGAATCCAATATGGCGGACGACTTAAAAATACATCGAATTCACATAAAACTCATTACTCAGGGGTTTTTGGGGTGACTTATTGCGAATCCAGTGTTAGTTTTTAAAAATTCAAAATGGCGGATCCAATATGGCAGACGATTTTTTAAAAAATACATCCAATTCACTTGAAACATGTAACTTGGAGGTTTTTTGGGTCGATGAAGGCGATTCCAGAATTGGTGCAAAAGGAAAGTGCAAATCCAAGTCCAACTGCATATTCCATGAGAGCAAAAGAGACAAAGAGACTATCTATCTCTTGTACTCACGAGATTTGTACTTAGACTTCTCTTTTGCACCCATTCTGGAATCGCCTTGACTAAGAATTCGATGTCAAATCTTCATTTTCTCATAGCTGGGTTAAAACAAACTATTACTTTTTAATTAAATATGTTCTTTCAATTCTACGAATAGAGAAATTGATTTTTTGTGAGTAGGAAGAGTTATTTAAAAATTCGTCCGCCATATTGGATCCGCCATTTTGAATTTTTAAAAACCAACACTGGATTCGCCATCAGTGACCCCAAAAACCCCTGTGTAATAAGTTTCAAACTAGTTAATTCAATTATTTGGGTTCAACTCATTTTTAAGTGTTTACATCTGGCTCACTTCGAATTTTCCACTTTAACCTCATTTTACAAAAAATCTGTCCATTTTTTTGGATTTTGTCATTAACATTTTTTGTTCAGGAGGTCAAAAGCTACAAAATTGCAAAGTTACAAGAAATTTAACCGAGAGTATTTTTCCCATGTATTTGGTGCGGGGTCCTTTCCCTTTTTTCCAGTTTTGGATTCAAAGTAGAACCTTAAAATTAATTAAAATATTGAAAATATTGAAATTGCTCTAATTCTAATAATTTTTTAAAAACGTTTCAAAATATATTAATTTCAGTTTTTAAAATGTAATTAAAAAAAAATTGATTTTGCTTTAATCAAAATAAATAAAAAAGTTTTCTTTTTTGTATTTTTTAAAATCGAACTAGGCTCTCCTTAGCTCCTACAATTTGTCGCAAATTTCTCGCAAATTTCCCTTTTCTCCACAATTGGATTCAAAGGAGGGCCCACGGGAGTCTAAAAGATCCAAAAGAGGGCTTATTCAGGTTGTAGGAGGAGCTAAAGAGGATTCAAATTTTGATTCGGTTACCCTATTAACATTTTTAACATTTAATGTTAATTACAATTGGTCTAACTTTAACATAAATTTTTGAAAGTAAAATTTTATGTAAAACAAAATAATAAATTCTATACTGATGTACAACCTAGTTTTAAACTATAGTTCGTCGAGACGGTATAATGGAACGCCAGAATATTTTTCTATCAATTGTTAATCGAACTAATCCAAAATTATAATATAAAAATCTCAAATTTTAATATAACTCTTAAACTCAAAATCACAAATGTAATTGAAACTTAATTAAAATCGAATAATCAAACTATTGGATAAATAATGAAACAACGTGTTTTAACTTTTCGGGTGCAAAAATAGATGAATCACTGTATTTTTTTAAACCGTCAAAAGTCTTAAAAAATGTAAAGTAGATTTTAAAAGCCAATTACACATTTTAACTACTAAATGCACACACGGTAAGTGAAAAAGTAATGAAGATAGCAAGTTTATAGTTTACTTTATGACATAGATACTCAATTTATTACAAAATGATAACGTTAGCGAACATAACTCTGATAAATTGCACTAAAACAGTATTAAGTCAAATATGTTTTTTTACGTCGGATAGTATTCAAGAATTACTTTTATGCTACTGTCATTAGAATAGATTTTTGTAAAGTAATTTTTCATGTAATATATGAGAAGTTACTGTCTTTTATATTGTAAAATATTTTTAGTCATAAGTGTATTGTAAATGTGCACTTAGAGAACTTTCTCATCGGAAAAACGTTCAGATATTTTTATATTAGCAAAATATTCGTTCAAATTAAAAAAAACTTTATTCACTAATGAACAATAATTAATGTAATAAATCAGTAAAAAATGGTAAAAAAAGTGATTGTAAATAATAAATGTATATTTAAAATGTCAATTTATACAATATTTTTGATAAATTAGACACTAATTATTAAAATTTTCATTGATGTTTTGTCCCAATTAATAATAAATTATAATTTCTTTCAAATTTTGTCAATATTAAGGACAGGAAAGATATATATATATATATATATATATATATATATATATATATATATATATATCTTTCCTGTCCTTAATATTGACAAAATTTGAAAGAAATTATAATTTATTATTAATATATATATACATACATATATATCAACAGGGGCGGTCAAACGGCCAGGCAACAGCCCGGGACGCTCATTTCATTGAGGCGCCAAAATTTTCATGATGCAAAAATTTGTTTTACATTTTTTTAACAGCTTTTCTAACTTTTCATTCCGATTGGCTATTTGTCATAATTCTCGTCAACTACCACACCCTGCTCTAGTGAATATTTAGTAACTTTATAGTATCTACCTTTTAATTATAACAATAAAGTCACTAAATTATCACTAGAGCAAGATGCGGTAGTTGATGAGAATGATGACAAATGGCGAGTGGGGACTCATCAGGGGTGAATTAAATTTAATTACATTTTTGCCTGAAAAATACTTAATTACATATTGTCAATTT